TAATATATAATGTATTACGATATAATTATACAAATCGCAGTTCATATAAACAAACATTTAATAATTTAAACAAAAATGCTATTGATACTGTTGTTATCTTGAAAATATTATTCGCTATAAAATATAAATATAATAAATAAATATTAGAAAAATGTATAAAAATAATAAAATTTTAGTTAACGCATTTTTGAATTTATTTGAAAAGTTGTTTTCTAATAAGCTATATTTTTTGCCAATTAAATATTTTGGAAAAGATTTATTAATACATTTCATAATAAGGAGAGCAATTTATGTTTTGAATTATTATGATTCAAAAAAAAAAACAATATATTTCTCATCAGATTTGAAAAATTAGAATGTAAATAGAATAATTAACTAAAAAATAATTAAATGTAAAGATAATCTTCACATCATTTATTATATCCTGTAAAAGGAAGTTTTGGGACAATTTTTATAATTGTTTATCTATTACATTCCTAACAAGGAGAACCTGCGGTTGTCTCTTCTGTGATTTTAATAAAACTTCACATGGCGATAGATTTGATAGTCAAACCGAATACCTTAAAATATTATAGGCCTATGAGAAGCATATATTATATGACTATCAAATCTATCGCCATGCAAAGTTTTAACAAAATCTCAGAATAGTAAAACTGAGGTTGTCCTTGTAAGTAAAATATTAGTTAGTTACATTAAATTTTTGTCTGCCTTTATTTCAAATCTATATTTCCGATAATCTTTCGCGCCCAAATGTTTGACGTTCTCAGTATGCAGAACAATTAGTTCGAAGCGTGGGATCCGAGTGTTCCCCTGGGTCATGTAATAAAAACTGAAAAAAATTGAGCGTTTTAAGAATGAATTCCCTCTTCGTTTACTATGTAATCAATATCACCAAAAAAACATAACAGTATGTAGATGTTCACATGGACAAACCCTCACAGAATGTGTTTAGTACAATTAATAAGTAGAGTAAAGAAAAATTAAAGCAGAGGTCGCGTTTTTATGTTTTGTCTAGGATTAAAGTATCACGACAGAAAAAAATCTTGGAAAAAAATGTTCATGATATGATATACATACCAAAATATTAAATATTGATGTCATTTCTTTTATCGTCATACGGAATATATTGTGTAATTTTTCAGCACCTTGATTTTTTTTTCAAGAAAATTGATAAATTATAGCATGACCTTAAAGGCTGATCA